ACTTAAAAATAATATATCAATGAACGTGACGTAAAATTATTAAATATTTATTGGAGACATTGATTTATTAAAAACAATAATCGTGGTCGTAACTAGGAGCGATCGTAATTTCACTTTTAGCATTTGTTACACCAACCTTTGTTCGTCTAGAATTTATATACCATACTCTGGAAAAATATTTTGTCTTAGTTTCCTATGTAGACAAAATTTACCGCAAAATCATCGTTTCAACTTTGCTGTAAATGCACAGATAGTGTGTCTACATAAAATACATATATCGTCGTTTCCTGTTTAAGCTATTTAGCCAAATATTCCACACGTGTACGCGTATAATTTGGACGATTTTTCATTTTATTTTTCTTTGTGTGAATAGGGAATCGTATTTATTTTGAAGTATTATCTAAATATTGAAATAAACTTTATATTTGTTCAATATCGTACAAGACGATAACAATTACAAAGCATTCAAATTAAAAAAGTTAAACACAAATGTTGGAACCTAAGCACGGTGACAACAATTTCCTAAGAGAATAGACGAGATTTTTTGTGGCTCGTACTAAACTTATCCTGATAATTTATTCGCCCGACGCAACGTATACAGACATCCTTAATTACAAGAATGTCAATATTTTTGCAAGGCTTTTTCATTGGACTAAATATCAAAACCAAAAAAGAATATATACATACACACACACAGTTATATCAAATTTACCGAGATACACGTAAATGCGTGTAGATATATCCTTTGGTACTAATAAGTTTATTAATTTCAGATAAAGTTCGAATAATATAGTCAACGCTAACATTATGTACCGGATGTTAATCGTTCTTTTTAGCCACCTTATCTTTCGAACGATCCTTAATAGCTTTCTGCTTTTTATCGTTTGTTATCTTTGCTTCCATCTCACCCGAGAAACCGAATTCGTTTACTCTGGTGTGATCGGTTTTGTATATCCATCTTTGGTACAAAAATATGAAGAAAATTATGTCGTCACGGAAGCAGCTAATTCTATATAGTGTTGGCATCTTGATAACGAATGCAAAAATGTCATCGATAAAAGTGTTTAAAAATTTGTAAGACATCATACGCCATGGAAGATGCGCCACGCTCTTTAATTTATAATTAATAAATAATTGAGGTGTCATCATAATAAATCCAAACGTTAGTAAAAATCCATAAAGCATATTAAGGACCCAAGAATACCATCCTTTGTGTTCTAAATACATTAATGAATAGATCGCGTATCCTGCTAAAAGAGGGTACAGAGCCCACGATAGATATTTGAAAGCAAGTCTGTCGTATTCTTTTGTGGAAGATTCTACGTACGACCCTTTATCGTGGAAACTAATTGTTGGAAAAACACCGAGAATTTTCGAGTTTCTATTTACGTTAATATCTACCACCTTATTAATTTTCCACGCTTCTATACATAAGCCTATTATGCAACTAATTCGTATGACTGTATTTGTTTCGTTATCAAGGACATATAGTAACACAATCAATGACTGGAACACATTGAAGAATACTGATCGAACTGATAAACCTTCCAAAGAGTTACGATTGTTCCAGAATTGGATATCTGAAAAATATTGAATAATAATAGTATACAACGTGAATTCAAACTTGAAACTTATACTTATACTCATGAAAAGATTACATCTTACCATTCTTAAATGCTAAGAATTCAAATACACTATGTAATGTTGATACAATGATAGTCAGACCCAACAAATACGGATTGGTATCCAATAATGTTTCTTTCATGGTATCTTGATCATTTTCGTCCTCGGCTGTTGTTTCTCCTGTAAAAAAGTTCTTGTCAGTATCGTCTACTTACGTTTCTACCATTACTAATAAACATTTCATCATACCCATGAACATGGATGTCCATTTATCTCTCATTGTTGGAGCTGAATAAATTTGCCATTTAAATAACGACAGAGGCTGATAGTTTAATTTAAGTTCAAGTTCATTTGTAGTATTTTTTATGAGCTGATAGTCCCTTTGCATGTTCCAAAAGTCATTCAAGTATATTACAGGCTTATAAAACATCCCTTCGGATGAGAATTTGATATCTGCAAATCAAATACAAATAAATAGGCAAACAATATTAATACGAATTTTTATATTCTCTTTTATTTAATGAACTCACAACTATCTAATGGTGATGGAACTTGACCATACTCCCAGTGAGTTTGATCAGTTACCAAGTTGATAGTTAAATTGGGATGCCAATGGGATACAAGTTCATTCATTGATTCAGCTTTCTATAACAAGCATTAATATATATGGTCAAACAGCTGCAATGTTTATTTATAAATTTTTACGATTATACAAACCTCAATTTCTTCTCTATTGACAGCAGTTTCTCCAGTCAATAAATTATGTTTTTTCTGATATTTTACCTTTTTAAGTTTATTCAACATTTTTTTAGAATACGACATATTTTCTCCAGCATAACGATTCTTCCCTGCTTTTGGATTAGGAGACATCCCACTTTTTGTAACATACACATGAAGATATATATTCCCATTGCTCTTTACATGATCCGATGGAGTAAATTTATATTCTAAATATCTCTGGCCATCTTTATTTGGTCCGCTATACCAATCTCCATATATCAATCCTCGTTCTTTCCATATTAATGTTCTTGGGACATCAAACTGATCAATGTTCTCGTGTTCCGATAAAAAAACATGTAAATCTAACAGTGCCCCATTTTCAAACACGTTTACAGCATGTACAGGTGTCTGATTAACAGCATTGGGTTGAGGACGTCTAAACAAATAGCTAATGAAGTAGATAATGAGGCAACGAATAATCAATGTTTTTATAATTGCAAAGAAAGATTCAAGTCTTGAAGGCTGATATATCGTCCTCTGATCTTCAGTTTCTGCATTTACCTGTGCAACAAGGACCAATATTAAACGATATTATGAAAACAAATTTTTGTTCAAGAACATGCATCATCATCATCGTCGTCGTCATCTTTGAATAGAACAGGTTGCTGTGATTACTTATATCACATTTACCATGTCATTAAATAACCGTGGACATGTTAACGAATGAATTTACGAATTGAATAAACGACGCCTTCAATTGAAATTTCCGTTAATGAGATTTCAGTAAAGTAAGATTCATGAATTACAGAACGACGAAGTTGAATGCATTAATTTTATCGAATAATACACGACAAATGTTTGTCATAGAAAGATTCGAGCATCAAATAGAAGAAATGTATAAAACAATGTATAATTCACACACATCTCTTTCCTCAGTGTTTTCCGTATTAACTAGTTCGCCGTTTTGTTGATTTTCATCCATATTTTCGTCAACATTTAGTTCCTTCTGATCTTGACTATCATTTTCTGTGCTCACCATTTTTCTCTTGGGTTTGTTTCGGTCGGGTGTATTCTCTACGCGTTTTCAGAGGGAGTCACATAGAACCGGATGTTCGATGTTCGATACACGTCTTGAATTGTACGTGTTTCATGACAATGAACTTGAAATACTTTTAAATCACTATGTTACAATGTATCACTGTAGTAACCCCAAATTTTACACAGCTGTACTAACATTTAATTATTAGACACTGCGTAAAGCAATTATTTTTTAACTATCTTTAATAACATTATCAACGATACCTTTGGTACGTGGTTCTATGTAATAAAACGAATAACCTTAACTTCCATTAAATACTTATGTAACGTAGTTTCATTATTCGTTATCATATCTTATCTTTGTTATTGTATTTTGATTTATGTGAACAAATTAAATTAACCGCTCGTCATTAATTTCTCTAAGAATATTAACAAAACTACAAATTAGATTCAATCTGAACTCGAATTTAATTAGGACACAGATCCGAATAGTCGACTACGATTGGATTTGAAAAATTGACGCATTTTGGCGGGAATCGTATGACAGCTTGAAGGTTAGACGCTATCGGTCTCCGTTCGATACAATTATTGTTACTGTCCTCCTATTTGATTGTCAGTTATACTCTTCTTTGAGTGACATTATGTGGTGTACAACTCCCGAAATTTCGTGGCACAATCGTGATCCAGTTCTGAGTATCGACGTACAGGCTGGTATTTACGAAACATCGAAAGGTGAAAAATTCTGGCGTGTTGCTACCGGCGGTGCAGATTCACACGTTTTGGTAATATTATAAAGACAATTTTCGTACAAATATTATTCACAATTCTTGCAATAAATATATTATACAAAATTGATCATGTAATGATCTTTTTCTTTCGTCAGATATGGTATTTGACGACAAATGAAACCGGCGGGGCAGTTGTGAAATGCGTAACAGATTTAGAACGACATCAAAAAGCAGTGAATGTCGTCAGATTTTCACCTTCGAAAGAGATTTTAGCCTCTGGAGACGATGGTTTGTATTTATACATTTCATCTAATCAATTGCAAAATTCATGAGGCTATAATTTAACCTTTTGTTACTAGAGTCAACCATTGTTTTGTGGAAACGAAAGGAAGACTGTGAGTTTCACATTGTTTCCGAGGAGAATATGGAGCAGTGGATTTCTTGGAAGGTATTAAGAGGACATTTAGAAGATGTTTATGACATCAGTTGGTCCCCAGACTCTAACATGTTGGTCTCGGGTTCTGTAGATAATACAGCTATCTTATGGGACATTCATAAAGGACGTTCCACAGCTATATTATCGGAACACAAAGGCTTTGTGCAAGGGGTGTCGTGGGATCCTTGCAATCAATATATATGCACGATAAGCACAGACAGGTACGTTGTCAGTTTCTGTAGAAACTTGTTCATATTTTTTCTATTTCTAACGTAATATATTTTCAGGATGTGTCGTCTATTCGATATAAGTACGAAGAAAACAGTGCAGAGGGTTTACAAAGCCAAGATTCCAACACCCCCGGATCATCCATTGAAAGATAAGACAGTAAGATTGTTTTACGATGATACATTTAAGTCTTTCTTTAGAAGATTGACATTCTCTTTGGATGGACAGTTAATTATTGTACCATCCGGTATAATAGATCCGTTAGAAACTACAGAAAGAATATCCAATGCAACCATAGTCTTTTCAAGGCATAATCTAAAAAAGTGAGTATATTTTATTATTTATTGTACCGTTTTCGTTTTTAAAGAATTTGATGAATGATTTTACTTCCAGGCCTCTCATGCTTCTACCCTCTTTAGATGAAAGTACCATAGCTGTAAGGTGTTGCCCTACATATTTTCAATTACGAAAGGATGGTCCAATTCCCATGATAACGCTGCCCTATAGAATAGTGTTCGCCGTTGCTACACAGCATTCTGTGTTGATATACGATACTCAACAGATATCGCCGATCGCTGTGATATCGAATATACATTACACCAGATTAACCGACGTTTCTTGGTGAATAACGCTTATGATTACTTGCATCCAAATTTTGATCCATTTCCATAATATCATACTTTGCAGGTCGAGCGATGGTAAAATACTGGTAGCGTCGTCAACGGATGGCTACTGCTCTATTATACACTTCCAAAACGGAGAACTCGGCGTGGAGTATAAAGATGAGAACAAAATCCCGGTGAAATGCGTTGAAAGTAGTAATGCGAAAAAGTCTTTCGGTTCAAATAATACTGAGAACGTTTCTAAATGCTTGTCTTCCATCGACGTAGATAGCAACGCGATGGACATTGATATCTCGGCTTGCGAGAAATTCCACGATTCTACCAAGAGTTCAGGAAGCCAGGAGTTAGAGAAGAGTTCAGAGAACAAGAAGTTAGATAAAAATAAGAAATCAGATAATGTTACGGAACAAAAAGTGGACAGTAAAATCGAGACCGAAGAAACCGAGGATATTGAATTAGTTTACAGTGAAGACAGTACTAGCAGAAGTGTTAGCACAAAAGTTAACGTGAAAATTACACCGAAAAAATCAAATGCTCCGCAAACCGTGCTTGTTAAAATCCCACGGAGAGTGCAGTTGATTACTCTGTCAAGCCCGAAAGGGAATAAAAAATAGAGATATGCCGAATTAATGCAGTGAACGCAAGCCGTGCATACAATGCGGATGTTATTTTTATACTATCGTCTTTGTTATATTATATAATAAATTGTAGGTCGATGTCCGGAGGTTCGACTTTTATTTTAAGGGTTTAAAACAATTTGAAAAGTACATTTTCATGAACAACAGCACGGTCAGTCTTTTATCGCTCCGTTGAATTGTTTTATGTTAGTGGGCGGGCCGTGTTTGTCTGCCTTTAGAAGCGTAATCTCCGTGTACATACATTCATGCGACATCTATATATACATGAACACTAATTCGCACGAATGCTATAGCTTCGGGTTTGTCACCTGCGAAGGCTTGTGCTGGTATTATATACTTGCGAGTATTAACATGGCGTATCGCAGTGATCTGACTGTCCGCTGATGCAGACAGTGGTCGCATCGCGGTACGTTCTGACACGTTTTCTATCCTCACATCAGCAACGATGGTGAGTGGTTCACTAATAAATAATACACTCCACATTTTTTACTACGATTTGTTAAAAACATTGTTTAAACTCTCTACCCATTATTCTCATGGAAAATATTGTTGTAGATATTTAATTATTTTACTGCGCGACGCACGACATTATCCGCAAGTTGTACAATTTAATATTTAACTCTTTATCCTATATATAGCTGTGTTCGTTGTAACAATCGTTCGACAAAGTTAGTTCAACGATATTGTCGAAGATAATTGATATCGGCGAAGTTAGTGCTTTTATATGATGACGACTAATACCCCCCCGGGTAATAGTTCTTAAATTACATGGTTCGGGAAGGTATAGCCAGGCGCCGCGAATAAAATACACAGGCACATATGTACTTCGTGTAAAATCGAGCGATTAAAGAACTGTCGATAAATAGGTCGTGTGGAAGATTGAATCGCAAGATGTCTTAGACTTTTCGATGTAATGATACGCGACAAATAATATCCGAAGAGTATTATGCGCTCGATTCTTTCGCGCTGGAGAACCGAACGCGGTTATCAAAATCTTGTCGATCGGCTATATTAATTCGGAAGCCGATTAAGGGACTAAATTAATCGTTTGAGGAGCTCGTTGGAATTCAGGAACAGAGGCATTGGTCCCCCCCCCCCGGGGGGAGGGGGGCATCGGAAAACGACATCGTGTTCTTGGCGTCGTTGCGAAATGCGGGCGCCCTTTCGAAAATTCGCATCCGCGAATTCGAAAAATATATTGTCTATCGCGAAATCATGCCACGCACACGTCGGTGTTCGATCAAGCTGCTATGGTTACAGTGTATGTCAACCTGTATAAAATCGATGTTTCCCGTGGCACGTTCTAAAGGACATGATGCATCGAAAGTCTGTAGGACAATCGGTGTCTATGCGCAACAGCGGACCATCGGGCGATGCCGTGCGACAGCGAGCCCGTAGCACGCGGCCATGTAACGATGAGACGTTTCGTTTTAGGAGAACGGTTGAATTATTAATCGAAGACATTGGCAGGTCAAGGTAGCGAAGCTTAGCGACTCGCTGACAGGCGTAATAACGTTTCACGTCGACAAGATATCATCAGCATGTCAGTTCACGATCGTCCCTTGCCCGGTGACTTTGGGACCCGGCGGACTTCTCTTTTCAACTCTCGTCGACGAACAAAATAAATAAATAAACGGAAACTGGATTTATCTGGTTTTTTCCTACGATACCTATATACGCATTTTACAACAAATTTCTTTCGATTCCGCATTCCTCGTCGACGCGTCACCGCGAAAGGAGGCCCCAAGTTTTACGACCGTCCAATAAAACCGTACATTCGTTTCTTTTTCCTCCCCGAACGTTCGCGCCAAGGATTCAAGCTGGAGGAACTAGACAATATTCGGATCGCGAAGATGGTATATTGCTCGTTAACACCAGATTTACGGACCCGTCAACAAAATGACGGGTCACTGATTTTTTCATTCATTCGATTATTCATATCGTAAAGATACATTTATGAGTTATCTACATATTCAATCGATACGTCACTCACGGCAAATGTTACGGTAACACTCGTTAAAAATCAGAATGAATGTCTTATTGTTACTTTTATTATTTTATTACATTATATACATATTTATTATTATATTACATATATTATATATTATATTATACATATTGTATATATTTATTATATTATATACATTATTATTATTTGATTATATTGTTACTTTTATGGACTAATATAAAACGGCTGTTTCTTGCGCTCCGTAAATCTAGTGTCAGGCGCTAATTTAGGCGCTAATCCGTTTGTTTAGCGGACGATTCAATTCGCGTATGATTACAGCGGGAGTGTATATCCATCCATATCGGGCAGGCGGGGGTGCAAATGGGCAACGCTTGTTGGGAACTGTATTGTTTGGAGCACGGAATTCAGCCGGATGGACAAATGCCCAGCGACAGCACCGTGGGCTACGGGGAGGACTCTTTCAATACCTTTTTCTCTGAAACCGGCACCGGCAAGCACGTACCGAGGGCGGTTTTCGTCGATCTCGAGCCGACAGTCGTAGGCGAGTATTTTTTTTTTTCGACCGAACACGGTCCCGTTCTTTTCCCTCTCGGACGCGCGCAATATAATTTAACCGAAAAATCTGTGACGTTTCAGACGAGGTGCGAACCGGCACGTACAGGCAATTGTTCCATCCGGAGCAGTTGATCACCGGAAAGGAGGACGCCGCGAACAATTACGCGCGAGGGCACTACACGATAGGTAGTCGCGACGCGTTGCCTTCGATTTACAGAGGCCCAGGAAAGTGTTCGTACAACTGCTGAATCGTAATAACTTTTTTAACACGTCGAACGCCGCGTTATTATATTTATTTACGCCGCGTATCTGAGTGACGGCTACGTTCCCGCAAGTTTCCGTTCAATTAAAGCAGGATTTTCGAGGTAATTTATAGTAATTTGTTTTGTAACACAACTGTGACGAGTATAGAGAATATAGAGTAACGATTAAAACTATACTTATACCAATAATAAAATAAAATAATAAAGTATATACAATATACTTGTACCAACAAATTGTACTTATATTTAAATCTGTTTTTAAAATATTCGAACGTTTTATCAATCACGATGGAATTCGTTGAAACATAATTCGGGGGACTCTGTTATATAACAATACGTTATAGTCTTTTGTAAATTCTTTTCTTGGCGCCGGGAGAAACTCTACCGGTTCACGCTGGCCGTTCGACGTGTTCAAAGCTCAACTAAAACTAAGACTTGAATACTTTTTAGATGATAGAGGGACTTAGTCTACACGACGATAGCAAAATTAAAGACAAACATTTTGCTCATCGTCTAGTAAACTAGACCCGCCTATAATCGAGAAAACAAAGTTCAAGTCACTTAGTCCAATCACTTCATTTGAGTCACTTTAAAAAAAGTTATCGCGTTTCAAAAGGTGTGTGAACGTCTCGTATGTGAAGGAACGAACGCAACCAAATCGGTCGTAATTCACAGGAAAGGAGATCGTGGACATCACGTTGGACCGGATCCGCAGGCTGACGGATCGATGCAGGGGCCTACAAGGATTTCTAATCTTCCATTCGTTTGGGGGCGGCACCGGTTCTGGATTTTCCAGCTTATTGATGGAAAGACTGTCCGCGGAGTATCCGAAGAAAAGCAAGCTGACCTTCAGCATCTATCCAGCGCCGCAGGTAAGGGAAATGGCGAGAGAGAGAGAGAGAGAGAGAGAGAGAGAGAGTATTTTCCAATCGCGAACACACGATCGTTCAACGTTATTTCATTGTTATTTCTATTTGCGCAGGTATCGACCGCCGTCGTGGAACCGTACAATGCGATTCTTTACACACATCCGACTCTAGAGCATTGCGAGGTGGCCTTCATAGTCGACAATCAAGTTCGTACACGTTCGAGGTCTTCTTCGCCGGCTAATTCTGATTAGGAACGCGCCAGGCAACGGATTAAAAATATCATTAATTCTATATATATATATATATATATATATATTAATAATATTTCTATGTTATAATTTAAATCGGTTGGAATATCCATATATTCAGCGTGTTTTGCTTCGCAGGCGATCTACGAGCTGTGCAGACGAAATCTGAACATCGACAGGCCGACCTACACGAATCTAAACCGTTTGATCGGCCAGATAGTGTCGTCCATCACGGCGAGCCTGCGATTCGACGGAGCCCTGAACGTGGATCTCACGGAATTTCAAACGAACCTGGTGCCCTACCCGCGAATCCATTTCCCTCTCGTGAGTTCTGTGGTTTCGGTGCTATAAGTAAGGAGACGTTTCTCTGTGTTCGTTTGATCGGCAATGTTGCCTGTGTGTGTGTATGTGTGTGTGTCGTCTCGCAGGCGACGTACGCGCCTGTCATATCCGCCGAGAAAGCCGGCCACGAGAGGATCACGGTGGCGGAGATCACGAACTCCTGTTTCGAACCTAATCACCAGATGGTGAACTGCGACCCCCGAAGGGGAAAGTACATGGCTGTCTGCATGCTCTACAGGGGAGACGTGGTCCCCAAGGATGTGAACGCGGCGATCGCTATGATCAAGAGGCAGAAGCACGTCCAGTTCGTCGAATGGTGTCCCACCGGTTTCAAGGTAGCTACTGCGATGCGTCCTTGTCCGAACTTTCGGACGAGTCAGTGACCATTGTAAGGGCTGCTGAGTTACCTTTAAATTCGAATTCTGTTTCGCGTTGCGCAGGTGGGAATTAATTATCAACCGCCCACCATCGTGCCAGGGGGAGATCTTGCTAAGGTAGAAAGAGCAGTGTGCTGCCTTTGCAACACCACAGCCATAGTAGACGCCTGGGCCAGGATCGACCATAAATTCGATCTCATGTACGCGAAAAGGGCGTTCGTTCATTGGTAATGTTTCAACCTTCCTTTGTTTTGCGAAGATGCCGAGGTGTTTTCGATGTCTTCAACATCTGTGCAATTATTACAGGTTCGTCGGCGAAGGTATGGAAGAGGGAGAGTTCGCAGAAGCCAGGGAGGATTTGGCAGCTTTGGAATTAGATTATCGCGAAGTGCAGGAAGACGCTGCCAACACCGAAGACGAAGAGGAATATTAAAAAGTCACCGTCGGCTGATTTCTAGCTATCAGAAAACATATGTTGTTCGCACCATATGATGAAACAACATCGGTGACACGAAACTGCCTATTTTACAGTGAAGCCGCCTATATCTGTACTCCATTTTCACCTCTCAGCATTTACAGCATAATTAAACGATCATTACTATGGTGTTGGTGTTTATATACAATAGTTACGATGTAATAATTTTAAGTGATATGAAATAAAAGTGTTTAATGAACAATTCTTGAGTCCAATTTATTTCTTGGCGCTATTCCCATTCCCATTCTCATTTCTATTCCTATTCCCATTTCTATTCCCATTCCCACTCCCATTCCTGTTCCTAATGATTCGTGGATAAGTTTAACGCAATTACTTCTCATTGACTTAAACTACTTGCTAATTGTATCAGGAGAACACGAGGAGTTATTCTCGAAGTTCTTAGTCTGGCTTGTGATTGACTTGTACTACTGAAATTTCGAGTATCAGGAGCACATAATTTCTCGAGGAAGTATCCTAAAATTCATTGTCTGACTTGTTATTGATTTGTACCACTAAAATTGGGAAAATTTTCGAAATTCTGTCTGGCTTGTTATTGATTTGTACCACTAAAATTGGGAAAATTTTCGAAATTCTTTGACTGACNAGGTTCGTCGGCGAAGGTATGGAAGAGGGAGAGTTCGCAGAAGCCAGGGAGGATTTGGCAGCTTTGGAATTAGATTATCGCGAAGTGCAGGAAGACGCTGCCAACACCGAAGACGAAGAGGAATATTAAAAAGTCACCGTCGGCTGATTTCTAGCTATCAGAAAACATATGTTGTTCGCACCATATGATGAAACAACATCGGTGACACGAAACTGCCTATTTTACAGTGAAGCCGCCTATATCTGTACTCCATTTTCACCTCTCAGCATTTACAGCATAATTAAACGATCATTACTATGGTGTTGGTGTTTATATACAATAGTTACGATGTAATAATTTTAAGTGATATGAAATAAAAGTGTTTAATGAACAATTCTTGAGTCCAATTTATTTCTTGGCGCTATTCCCATTCCCATTCTCATTTCTATTCCTATTCCCATTTCTATTCCCATTCCCACTCCCATTCCTGTTCCTAATGATTCGTGGATAAGTTTAACGCAATTACTTCTCATTGACTTAAACTACTTGCTAATTGTATCAGGAGAACACGAGGAGTTATTCTCGAAGTTCTTAGTCTGGCTTGTGATTGACTTGTACTACTGAAATTTCGAGTATCAGGAGCACATAATTTCTCGAGGAAGTATCCTAAAATTCATTGTCTGACTTGTTATTGATTTGTACCACTAAAATTGGGAAAATTTTCGAAATTCTGTCTGGCTTGTTATTGATTTGTACCACTAAAATTGGGAAAATTTTCGAAATTCTGTCTGGCTTGTTATTGATTTGTACCACTAAAATTGGGAAAATTTTCGAAATTCTTTGACTGACCTGTTATTGACTTGTACTACTGAAATCTCGGAAATGTCTGGCCTGACGTTGACTCTTACTACTTTTTCCGAAAAATTTTCCCAAAATTTCCCAATTTTAGTGGTACAAGTCAATAACAAGCCAGACAATAAATTTTAGGATACCTCCGCGAGAAATTGTGCTCCTGATACTCGAATTTCAGTAGTACAAGTCAATCACAAGTCAGACAAAGAAATTCGAGAATACCTTTTATATGTACCCATGATACAATTAGCAAGTAGTTTAAGTCAATGGAAAGATAGTGGAAGCTGTCAAAATGAGAGAGGAAGAGAAAGGAATACGTGAACGATGGAGCGATTTTAAAGAAGGGCGAGAAGGAAGAGAGAGAGAGATAGTGAGAGAGTGCAAGAGAGAGAGAGAGAGAAAGTGTGAGAGAAATAGTAGAGAGTGCAAGAGGGAGAGATAGTGAGAGAGAGAGAGAGAGAGAGAGAGAGAAAGTGTGAGTGTGCGATAGTGATAGTGAGAGAGAGAGAGAGAGAGAGAGAGAGAAAGTGTGTGTGTGTGTATGTGAGAGAGAGAGCGAGAGGGAGAGTAGAAGAAAGTTGGAAGAATGAAAGAGGAATGAAAAGAGGGGAAAACTATAAAATACAATTGGTACAGAGAGGTAAGAGTAGGAAGGGTTCTAGAATATTTGAAAAGGGATGAGGAAGAAGCGAGATGGGGTGAAACTGCAAAGTATAGAGAGGACGAGGAAGAAAGCGGATGCTGATGTGGAGGAGAAGAAACACAAATGTGAGAACACATGTTACAGTGGTACAGGAGGAGAAAGGAATGGAGGAAGGAATTTGAGAAAAGATTAAGTATATATTAAATGGGTATGGTAGAGGAGAGGAATAGATGGTGAAACTAGATGAAGAAAAAAAAGGGAGCGAGGGAGAAAGGTGAGAGAAGGAGACGTTGATTGTGTGAAAGAGCAGGCGAAACGGAGGACAAATGAAGAAGGATGAGCAAATGAAAAGACGTTTGAATTGAGTTTTATAGTACTTTTATTTTCAAACATTACAGTTCTTATTCTATTTTACAATCATTTTATAATAATGAAAAGGAGTCAGAACGAAGCCGGTATTCGGTATACTGATCAATTCGCCATAATGTTTTGCAACAGAATTGTTGACTAATTAATTAATTATTTCCAAATTACCAAACATCTACATTTTCAAGTCAATGCACACACACACGTGGTTAATATAACACATTAATTGAATAATTGGTGAAATTATAACTTATAACATTATGCCAGAAGAAGTTAAATTTGCACGGATAATAAGTGTTACAATTATCATTAGATACGGTGTAAACTGCGGCAAGATTCATCTGCGTACACGCCATGCTCTAGTGGCGCCATCCGTGACAGAAAGCTGAAACTACTAGCCGAGAATTTGTGGCGCCTTCCGTGGCAGAACGCTGAAACTACTTGCCGAGAACTAGTGGTGCCATCCGTGGCAAAACGCTGAAACTACTCGCCGTGTACTTGTGGCACCATCCGTGGCCAAACGCTGAAACTACTTGCCGAGAACTTGTGGCGCCATCCGTGGCAGCACGTTGAAACTACTCGTCGGGAAGTTGTGGCGCCACCAATTCCCTGTATTTGCACGTATAATTTGTGGCAAATCAATCAGTAATTAATGATATCTTCCAAGATTGTCCATGTTATTTACTAGACAACAGTATCTGATATTCCCGATCCCTATGTTATATGTTTATTTAGTGTTTCACCGCTATGTGGTTATGGGTGTTTCAATGCTTGTTTCGGTGATTAAGAACGGTAGGAGAAAATGTGAGCAACTGTAATTTTTGTTATTTATATGTTTTTGCGGATCTTGTTAGATTTTTGACGGAAATGTATCAGTTTCAGTTAAGATATCCTAGGGATTTTATTCTAGTTTCTACACGGATTAATCGCGGGTTTTTTTTCTGTGTTATAATGTTTTGCAACATGAAAACAGAGAACCTTGATCCTATGTTTTGATGTGTATAAATGTGGAGATTATAGGAGATGGAACTGTTGCTTTAAACGAGTTAGAAGCTCTAAATAGATCTTGCAACCAAGAAGGCTGTGGAAGAGTCCAGGAATCGTTAAAGAAATGATGTTATTGGCAGCTGTAATGACGGAGTTTTGGAGGAAAAGAGAGGGAAAGCGCTTTCGTCCGGGTCCCGCTAGAGGACTCATCAATCAGTAAGGCTTTTCTAACGGGTCCTGCCATAGATGCGGGGATGTCGGAAGGACGGACGAAGTTTGTATATATACAAACTGAGACAGATCAGATACTTGGAGAAAAGGAGAGTCCATCTGCTGGCAAGCCTGGAGGTAGCCTCCACATGCTAAATAGTATTTTCTATTTCTTTAAAAGATAGCACTACGGAAATGACTCCCAAACGGAAGGTACGTAAACTTTGCACAGGTTATTTCATAGAACCCCTATAGATGTGTCTGCTTTCAAACACACTTGGTACTCTAATAACAATTGGCAACTGTATATTTCAATGATCAACAATAAGTAATGTTTTAATATTAGACAACCAGTTCAGAATCTACTTCGACAACGAGTTCTGGTTCATCATCCAGCAGTTCCTCCAGTTCCGGTAGCGAATCTAGTTCATCGGATTCAGAGAACTCCAGCAGCTCCGCCAATAGCCAAAAAGTTTCCGACACAGAGAGAACAAAGAAAAAACCAACCTTTCCCGCAAACCGACATGGCAAGTCTAAAGCTGAAACAGTTTCTGTGGCGTCGTCCGAAGCAAAAGGCAAGGAAAGAGTACTACCAAAGAGTAGATCGGTGGTCTATTCTTCAGAGTCTGAAGAATCACCCTCCAAAATTAAATCGGCAAAGCGAAAGCCGCCAGCAAAACCTAAGGCTACGGCTACGGTAGCTCCTGTCGTTAAACAACAAAGACCACCTGCTAAGTCCGCGGCTGCTTCCATTCAACAGAAAAATGTATCGAACCCTAAACCGGCTGGTAATAAGCCTAACAAACCTACCGGTAAGTACCCGATTGATTCGGAACGACTACTAGAGCGAAGATATTATTGCGCGTTATCGGTAAACTAACAATATTTTGTAGCATCTTCGAGCGCCAATGGGAAAACGATAGACAAATCGACGAAAGCAACGTCCGAACCGGTGCAAAAGAAATTGAAGAAGAAGAGTATCTTTAGTCCCGAGAACAGCAGCGAAAGCGACAGTGGTATGCCTGCGAAGACAACGGTGACCAAATCGACGAATAACTCTGCCAAGTTCACGAAAACTCAGCAACCCAAGGCAAAAGCGAACGACGCGAAACAGAAAGCACCTGCTCCAAGTAGATCTAGTCGGTAGCATGCGTTGATCGCAATTTCACGATGGTTCCCTGAAATAACAGCGTAATTTTCTTAGGTCTACTGACGAAAGCTGTACAGCCGCAGAAGTCGGATAGTTCCGCGAGTTCGAAAAGCTGTTCCGCGGGCTCAGGCTCTTCCGGTTCATCGGACAGCAGCACGGACTCCGAGTCCTCCGAGAGCATAGCGAGTCCTCAGCCTCAGATAAAAAAGAAAGACAATCAACCGAGCGCGACGGTGATCCCAGCGGCCAGCATTCTGCCGAAGCGACCGTCTGCAGCGGTTGCACCGGTGAAACCGCAGAAGTGTACAAAACGACAAAGTAATGAATTCTCTGACTACTACACGGAAGTTCGTCGAGCTTTAATCGTTCGTTTCCAAAATACTTATCCGTATTTTCCCGGCAGACACGGTGAAAAGCGAAGACGAAGCCGACGCGTCCGCCAGCGAGAAAGAAATCGATGAGCACGGGGAGACGACCGTTGCGTCGAAGACGACAACGAAAGGCAAGCGGAAGCTACAAACTCGTAAAGGGAGCAAATTGCTTCAACTTCAAGCAAAGGTTGCCAGTGATTCGGAGTCCGACGCAGGTACGAATGTACTGCACAGCTCCCTAATTCTGAATCCTTCCTTTGGAAATTTCATTTCTTCTTCTGTTACTTATGTATGGTACTTGAACACTTTGGTTATATCATCTTCTACCTGTTACATTTCTTTTAATTTCGAATTGATTTTTCTACGCTGTACAAGATTGTTTTGGACGCTAGACGTTCTTTTCCAATGAGTTCAGTCCCTCCTGCCGACCCTTCGCTGAAACAGAGGTGATACCTGATATTAGTCTAGATGCTGTAGGTAAATTTTAATGCCACCGTTTCATCATAGCGATTAGAGCACGTTCGTTTAGCGATCGAAAGCGCAGGATGTTCCGGCGATCGTGACATACAAACCAAACAAAAACGATTCTGTGCGAAGAAAGAAAAAAGTAAGAGGAACATTCGAGATCGTCATTTTCGAAATTTCTGCAAGTAGAAGAGACAGTCTTGCACGGGCTGGATATATTGCAGTTTTCGCGCTCGCTTTCTCAAGATCAATCGGAAGCGGAGCCCCGTTCTCGGCTTCCGGTCGCGTCACAAATATCACCGAGACATCCTGTCTAGATCGCCGGAGACAGAGAGGCATACATAGATACCGAGAGTTTCCTCGAGAAAAGAGGCGGTTAGAGAGACATAAATTTCTGCAGGCGGCGGATTTAGGACTCTATGCTGCCTCCTTAACACAAAAAAGCAGTATTTGCGGTTCTGGATGGATGGATTGGACATATATTTAATAATAACTATGTACATAAACGCATACATATATCACGTGATATCGACGTCCGTAGGGAATCTTGTGGTCCATGGCATTGTAACAAAAAAGAACAGAAAAAGCATGTGTCCAAGGTATCCTAAGATGCAGATACAGTCTTTTTGCTTACGGCGGCAGTATGGTTCTCAGGTACGGAAACGGTAGCGTGTAAGCGTATCCTGCAAATTCCGCTGATCCGGTGTGATTTATCGAGAGTAGCCGAGAGCAAGAGGAGCACCAGCAAATCGCCGGTTAAACGAGCCGGTCCTAGCACTCAGGCCAGGCACGCTTCCGGCGCGAATCGGCCGCCGCAAAACAGCGGCTCCAACAATGCCACCGGCGGCAGATCCGGCCAAGGGAGTTACGCCCGTGCAAGGGTCACGAAGGAGAGAGAGTGCCCTTTGGCGCCGGCATGCGACTCCAGGGGTCACCTCTCCGGGAAACTCGAGTCACACTTTACTCTGGAGGCTTGCCCCTTGTACCACAACACCACGCCGCAGGCTTGCGTGTAAGTTAGACCTTCGCCTCGAGAATTCTTAACCCTAATACTTGTCCCTAACACCTATCCGAAATTTTCCAGGGAGTTCTACAAGGACAGAAAGAAGCGTGAGGACGAGCGGAAGAAGGCTGTCTCGTGTCTGGCCAAGAAGTCGCCGAAGGGCGTGCACCAGACGACGGAGCAGCGCAACTATCAGCTGAAAGTCAGAGAGCTGAGAAACAAATGGAAGGGTAACGTCGGCGACGGCAACGAGACGGACAACGAGAACGAGCTCCAAGGGAACGAGAAGGATCGTCAGCCGCGTCTGACCAATCTCACGCCGGACTATGACTTGAAATTGTTCATGGAGGCGCAGGCGATCGCCAGCGAGAAGATCGTAGGTGTCTACAATAATGTCTCCCTAACCGACGCTCAAATTGTCCACAAAACTGGCTAATTTGGGAAGAAGAGATACGATTGTTCGAGTCTTACGGTTTATTTATATAGTTACGAACTGTCAACGAGTATTAAAAACGAGCTGCAAGGCTGTGCAAGGCAATCTGTGCGTCAATTAGGGAGACATTACTGTACAGTGTTACTATGCAGGCGCGATCGTCGATCGTCGACTACAATATTCAACTTTCAGGAAAAAGAACTGAAAGAGCTGGACTACGACGGCGAGGGTAGAAACGTTGGCGGCACGCGGGTCATCGAGATGGGCAAATGGGAGATGGAGGTGTGGTACCAGAGTCCGTATCCCGAGGAGTTCAGCCGCGCCCCGAAGCTCTACCTGTGCGAATACTGTTTGCGGTACGCGAAGAGTCGTCAGGTGTTGAGGCGGCACAGGGAGAAGTGTCTGTGGAGGCACCCGCCGGGCCACGAAGTGTACAGGTTCGCGTCGAATCGAACACACGCGTTGCTTACGATCGAGCTTGTTCGCGACGACCGACGCTGTAAATGGTTGTTTCCGTTCTCGCCGCAGGAAAGACAAGATAGGCGTGTGGGAGGTCGACGGGAAACGTTACAAGCAATACTGCCAGAATCTCTGTTTGCTGGCCAAATTTTTCCTGGACCACAAGACGCTCTACTACGACGTGGAGCCGTTCCTTTTCTACGTGATGACGATCGGCGACTCCGAGGGATGCCACACGGTCGGCTACTTCAGCAAGGTGAGCCTTGCACTCTCCTTTCTCGACTCGAAATCGCGGACGAGCGCACCGGGCCTCTGTTAGCCGCACGAATTCAGGGCCCCCGTAGAACCGGCAGAAGTTCGACCGCCGGTTTAAAAATGAAACGAAGCGAAAAATGGAAGGCACAAAGGAGAGGCTCCACGAGGCGTTTCTTATTGGCGCGGACCTCGTCGCGACGACCCAGCGCCGGAGACATTAATGCGGGACACGAGCGCGCGCGTACGTGCGCGGCGACCGCGAAGCTCGCGTCCTCGCGTCGGTCGCCGGCACCTGCGTAAACGAGATCCGCGTTCGCCATGATAGCCGTTTGGCGAACAATGCCCGGGAACAATGTTAAAACCGTCGAGAGCGTCTCGACGATCTCGGCGATTCGGACGCGACAAGGGTAGCGGAGCCGGTTACCGTGCGACCAAATCGCTGTGCCCCTTTGGCTAGTTTTCGAGCACAATTGACGCGTTATTGTTTTGCAGTTAATATTCTGTAAAATCTGCGAACATTGGCGTTTTAACGATGCTCGTTGAAACTTGTTTCGGTAACACGATTAATATTTGGGCAGGTTCTTTTGTGATCTCGTCGAACGATTTCTAATCGATTAACAGAAGAATGTAATTTTGTAAATTACATTTCTTCTAATTAAATTACATTCTAAATTACATTTAACGCGTTAAACGAAACAGCAGAATAACAAAATTGAATATGTCCTATTTTTGATAAATATAAAGTTGACACGTCAAGCGCCGGGTCGGTTATTTTGTCGACGATATATAATTTACAAAATTACGTGTTCCTCTGTTAAAATCAATTTGAAAGCATTTGAGGATAATAAAAGAATGCCTAACAAACGAGATAGAAGAATAACAAAATCGAATATGTTTTATCCGACGAATATAAATTTGACGCCGCGTTAAGGTTGCCGTTGTTAATAAATTTGAAATAATTTGGGAATAATAACAGAATGCCCAGCAACCGAGCTAGAAGAACGACAAACTTAATGCATCTTATTTTCGCTGAATACAAATATTATTTTCGGCTGAATAATTCTAATACGACTTATACGATTAATTATCGGAGAACGAACTAAAAGACACAGCGATCGGTCGCCCCCCCCCCCCCCCCCCCC